AGGCTTGCAGAAAAAATCTTCTAACAAAAATGTCAGGCTATTTCAGCAGAAGACAACTGAGTGCAAAACACTTTCTGAACATGCTGGCACCTCCGGCAGAGCCCATCCTGCTCCTGTCACCTCCTTAGGCTCCTGCCCAGCAGCCCACTGTGTGGACTGCACAGCACCATCACAGTCAGGTGGGTCCTCAAGTGTCAAGGCCAAAAGATAATTCAAAAGCAAAACGAACAGGAGGAAAAAACGTACTCCCTCTCTGCAGAGTGTTTCCCAGCTGAGGCACACAGTCAGCATGTGCTTGCCAGGAGCAGCTGGCTCCTGGGATTTGCCACCAGGAGAAGGGTTTTCAAAGGGGCCTTGGAGAGCACCCGTTCATTTCTGCGGTGCTACAGGTGGAGCATTCATGCTTGAGGCAGCCCGAGTCACTTGCGCCCTTGGAAAGTGTCTGTGAGACTGGCATGGGCATCCAAGATGTGCTGCTGGAGAAAATGGCCACCCACGCCATGGCAGAGGCAGAAAAGGTGGACATTGACACCTTCACTACTCAGCACCATGGCAGTTTTCAGACATGCAAGGGGACGCTTTAACACCCATGCTCATAAGCCCAAGTCATTACCTTTTTTCACTTTTTCCTCTTGCTGAAGAGAAGATGAGGTGAGGGATGGGTGACATGAATCAACAAGCACGAGTGCTCTCAGAAAGCACCAGCACTCAACATCATGGCCACATCAACATACAGGCTGCTGACAGCATCTTCCTGGAGTCCTCCCTTCCAGGGAAAGCCTTTCCCCCAGCACTCTCCACACCCCATGAGTTATGACCCCATTTGCCACACCATGGGATTGGATGACCTCGTTTTGCATCTCTTGCCTTCAGCTGCATCTGCTTGACCTTAACATTGCACAAGGTAGTGGGGATTTTACTAGGGTTTTTTTGCATTCCCTTAGTTGTAACACGTGAGTTTGCTGGCTAAACATGTGGGGGGAACATCTGTAAGAAGTTATGCATGCGAATAAAAATTGCTCTTGTTTTAACAGAGAGCCATGTATGGACAAATGAGACAAGCAAAAGCCGTGATCTTGCTGAGACTGATCATTAGCCTCCTCTAATTAGTCATTTTTTCCATGCATTTGTCTATGTAGCCAGCAAAGTGCACAGGCTCTTAGCTGTGGTCATGGCCATTCAGTGAATTCCTGTGGACTGCTCTGGGCATTTCAGCCTTTACGATGTAGTGTCAGGGTTGGTTTGCTTCAGCTATGAATGTGTCATATTTTCCTGTGATAAACTTATTTTTATAGGTTCATAATGTAGCTATGAAAAGTAACTCGGGGTCCATGCTTGACAAGCAAGATCTCATGTCAGCAGTGACCCTGTTTTAACCAGATTTCACCAGGCATCATCACAGATCCTGTAGGGGTGAGATAACAAATGAAGGGCATGATCCAAGCTGGCTGCAGAGCTGGGAAAGGTCTGCTTTGACCTGAAGAAAAAAACAAACAGTGGAGAAACAAGTTAAGGCACCTTCCCTGGGCTTGTAAGAGCTCAAGTGCAGGTGGATCCCAGTGAGGGCAATTAAGCACAAACCCCATCCTACCATGGATGCACTTGCTGGTATCACTGGTGAAAAGTTGGAGGAGAGCAGCAGCAAGGAGCTAAGACCATTGGGAAAGTGAAACCACCTGTGTGTGAGTGCCTCTGGGAGCCCAGCAGCATGGGCACGAGGTGCTGCTTGCTCCACAAGTCACCTGAAAGACCCAGGTTGAAAGCCTGTTGCAGCCATCCTCCACCTTGCTCTTCTCTTGGTCACTTCAAGAAAGAGCTGCCAGAAAAGCCCATAAAGTTTTGCCCCAGGGTGACCCCCCCCAAAACATCCCCCAGCAGCCTGCTCCAATGCTTTGCTGGTCTCACCCTCTATAAACTAAGTCTTTTTGCTGCATTTTTTTGCTGCATTTAAGGGTCACTTCTTGAACTGCCCATTGCAGGCACAGGATCCCAAATAGCCTTTGCAGCAGCCCCATACAGACCTCACTGAGCATCCTCAGCACCCACTGAACCCACCCAGGGGTGACACTCAGAGACCTCACAAGATGCTTGGCAAAACCCACCCAAGCATCCCAGTGCTGCTCTGGGGAAGTGTGGACCGGCTGCCACCTGAAAGGCAAGAGCTAGCAAGTAAATCCAAATTTATTGGTAAATCGCTGGCTATAAAAATAATCTGGCTTTTAGAAAGCAATTTATTTATGCTTTCAGTACTTGCTTAAATATTTATGTGGAAAAGGAAAAAAAAAAGTCCACTCCAACACAGGACTATCATTGTAGCAACAGCCTTTAAGATTAATGGAAGTAAATTAGCCTGATGTTTTATTTACACCCAGCAAAGCAATAGATAAACTCTCCTGGTGATGGATTTTCTTCATTAGTTGGGTGAATGCCTAAGGTACAGCTTTTGACGCTGTTTCTTCCAAGCGGTTAGACAAACAGTTTATCAAAAGAGTATAAAATTGTCAGGAAACGAAGCAGATTAATGACCAGTAAAGAGAAGATCATTGAATTTATGATATAAGTAGCAGTATCACTGGAGCTTAAGAAAGGGCTTATTAGATAACCGACATGTACAGGCACACAAAAGCGCTGACCCCCCCTCAAATCTGCTGCCCTGGCAGTGGCTGCTCCCCAAATCCTCCCTTCATGGAGGTCTCTGCACCAAGGCTTCACCTCCCTCCTCCTCTCCTCCCCTTAGGTCTGGGTTTATTCTGTAGTTCTCTCATTAGAGTTTGTGAACATGTTATTTCCTCCCAATTAAAAACCTTTTAGACTGGAGCGGCTTCAGGGGAGATAACCTTGTCTGCGTGCCTGCGCAGCAATAGCGGCTTCTGCAACCTAATTTGGCGATTTTTGGCTGCCATTACAGCAGTGATAACCATACCAATAACAACTAAAATAATATATAGGACTTCTCCGGTCTTGTGATTCTTCAGAGAAAAAAAAATCCCCCAGCATTAGTGGTTTATGGATCCCATATGGCTCCTCCAGCAATTACCTCTGGGATGATAACGAGCTGTCAGATACCGCAAATGAGAGAAAGGAGACTGGGAACATGGGGGAAAGAAAACCTTCCCTCTGATGGTGGAGGGGCTGCACGTGCAGACATCTGAGGTCTTTGCCCCCCTCAAGGTATGGGTTCAAGTTTTCAAGCCGCAGAATAGGGATTTTTTGGGTACAAGGATGACTAACACTGGTGCCATGAATCTCAGTCTCGAGTGCTGTCTCCAGCAGGTGGCATTGGCTGGACGGGCTGTCTCTTCCCCGCGCTTGCCAAGAGCATCTTCAAAGTTTCATCTCTGCACCAGCACATTTCAAGCTGCTCGAGCATCATTAATTCCCTAATTCCCTTGCAGCCTAATCCGCCCAACTGCACTTTATATCCCACCACCACCACCTTTCCACCTCCGTTACCATCTCTTTTCAATTAAAATAGAGATTTGAGGGACTTGCTGCAGCACGCTGCTCCCGGCTGGGCGCGTTGGAAAGCAGGATGGAGCAAGACAGCTGCTTGGAGGATGAGATGGGGCTCTGCCTGCCCAAATGTGAACCCAGGAGCTCAGCAGCAACCTCTACTCCCTTCGTGGTGTTTAAAATGCAACACACCACCTGTGCAGGGGTGCAGGAATGGCTCTTATTATTTTAAAACCCATCCCAGGGACAACTGCAGGGACCAGTCCAAAAGTCTTGAAGTTTAGGTGTAGGTGTGGCAGATGCACCCACCCTACTAAAGACCTGAGAAAGACCCAACAAAGACAGTGTTAAAGTTTCTGGCCCTGGCGGTGCCAGGACTGCCTCCCCCGCCCCCCCACAGCTCATGTCTGGTCCACACAGTGGGGGTCAAAGGGGGGAAAGTTGGGGTCCTCAGCCAATAGGGGGCTGACACGACCATGTATTGACCACAGATCAGGTTCGACCAGGGTATAAATGGGGCCCTGTCAGAGGACTCATTTGAGTCGGTCCTCCTCGGAGCAGCGGGTCTGCAGTCGGGGACTCTCCCCTTGAGTTGGGACGCCACTTAAGGTAACTTCTCGAGATTGAGAGCCCTCCCTTTTTAGGTGAGTGAGTGAGTGCACATTTTGGATCGTTTGGCCAAAACTTAAGTATTCCTAACTCAGCTGTGTCTGGT